CACTGTCAAAAAAATTTTTGCTTGCAAAACACTGGCTTTTTTTTTCTGGCCCACTTTTTTTCTTGACAAATTATTTTTTTGTCTTGCTAACTTTCTCTAATAGCCATAAACTTCTATTTCCCCAGGTTTCACATTTCACATTGATATCTCTTATCCTTTATCTCACATTTCAATATCAAGTATGTCTGTTGTGTTTCAACAGTCCTAGTCAGAAAACTGATCTTGCACTCGCAGCTTTTGTGATTTAATTTAATTCTATATTTAAGTATTACATTTGTACCTTACATTAGATAGTTCATAGCAAAACTCATATATTTTGGAAAAGTTCAAAAACTCTTTTCTTGATTCTGATGTTCATTCTTGCTCTTAAAATCCCATAACACATATAGAAATACATGCAATTCTATTAAATGCAAATACAGGCATAGCTATGGTTCTTTGACACACTGCTTTCAGGAACTCTCTTTTACACTCAGTTCTTTATCTACATCTCCCAAGACAAAAGTGTCCATCTTGCTTATACCATGAACCACACACTGTTTGTGCAGAATTCTTAGAAATAACTGTACTTCCGGCTATGAACTTAAACTTTGTTTTCTGGGTGTCGTTATCCTTCTTTAGTCAAAATACACGTTTTCACATTATACTTCCTGATTTGGTCATTCTAAGGTGTTTCTTATGTATTCAATCCTAACTTTTCCTTCTTTTATTCCTGGGAGAAAACATGAGGCTGGTCCACATCAAGAACAGTACAAGTGAGTGGCTATTTTTATATGGCGGAAAGGATATCATTCCTACACTCCTGCCTTGTAGCTTCCATCTTTTCCTACAGAAGCTCACCCTTAACTCTTTGCATTTCCACTTCACCCCACATGTCTTAAGATTATTGTCTTAAGATGTATGTTCATATTTATTTTAATTACGCATTCTAGATTATCAGACTTTGAATTGATAGTCTACATGATATTGAGACTGTCACACAGGGAGTGTCCAGACTGCAACTCAAGGATGTTATTATGTCCTTGTATCTTTCATAGCTGTTTGTACAACTCCAAGTCTCTTTGTAGGTGGTTAGATTTTATATATTAGTGCCAATTAGCTTTTTTGCATAGACTGATATTCATTTGCACAATCCTGGCACTAATTTCTGCTTTATGTATTTCTGTACTTCATAGAAATTAAACTAACTTCTCTCTTGCTTATTTAGAACAGGGATAGGTGTTCTGCCATACTCCAGGGCTTTGTATTTTTATTTTTGTTTTGTTCTGGTATTCCTATTTCCTTCCACAGTGGCAGATTCATCTCTCTTAACAACTCTTGCTTTTTTTGCCCTATGATAATGGCTTTGCAGAGCAATCTGATCTCTAATATCTTAACTCCTTTTAATTACTAATGCTACTTTCAAGGTTAAGTCTGTGACGCTCCCTTTCACTGGTTTCCTTCATTTGAATTTATCTTTGTCATAGCAATTTGGCTCAACACAATTATTCTCAGAAAGCTGCATTGCTTCTACAGAACTGCCCTGTCTTCCCTTTGGAATGCCTTTAGGCACCTACCACTTTGGTTTTTGACATTACCTAGAACAGAAAGGTCTTATGTTCATCCACTAGTTTTTTGACCTTGGAATTTTACACATGCAGTTGAAATGCTCTTTGGATCTTTTGCATGAGTTGTCTCTGTTCTTCCTTCCAGACACCCTGGAAAATTTATTTACAGTTGCCTAGATGCAGTTACAAATATTTTAATGTTATTTATATTAAATTCATATGTCATATATGAAATTCATGTCCTCTGCTGTTATGACATTTTCTTTATGATTATTAAGATTCATTCCAAGAATGGAATTCTGTAAGAATGGAAAACACTTGTTGATAAATGAAGTAATAAAACATTTGCCACCTATGCCTGAAGTTGTCTTTCCTCCTCTGTTACATTTCTACTCAGTAGGAAATATTTCAGAAGGAACTAACAGAAAGATTCAATGCTGGGTATAAGCATGATGGCACAAAACAGCCATCTCCGAACAGCACTGACCAGACCTTTTCTTACAAAATACTGGCAAATCATACAAGAAGAGGTGTTTTCTGTACACTTCCTGGGGAACTTATTCTATTGCAGTGATTCCTAAACTTTTGGAATAATGGTCTACCCTCAAACATTATTACAATCATTAATATACTCCCAAACAACTGTGGACTTCATGATTTTTTAACTGTTTAACCTGTTTCTGTGGACAACTTAACATAAATTCAACAACTAGCAGTGTTCCATAATCCACACTGAGAGCGCCATGTTCTGTGACACAAATGTCATAAGCTATCCCCTTGCAGGGAGCACATCTCTACCACCAAGGCGGTCACTTCAAACCCAAGTTTTACGTTTTTATCATTTATAGAATTTTAAAAACCTTTAAAGCCGAAATGGACAACTTTAACTCCCTATACCTATATACAAGAACAAAGATACATGTAATTTTGCTTTATACTCCTATTGACCATGACTTCACTAGCTCTCTGTAAAGTTGCTTCAATTATTATGTGCTAAGCTAATATCTTACAGCAAGACTGAATGTGCCTAATTTATACTTTGAGACATTGCTACACTCTTCTATTTGCTTCCTATACTTTTCTGTCTGCTTTTGTATTCTCTACCTCACTACGGTATCCTAATCTCAGCTCCCTCTAGTCAGTGGATATTCTCTTTTTCTTCTGAGGAAGCATCACAGCCTACAGTTTGATTTCTGGTCCTTCTGTTAATTTTGCAGCCCATCTCTAATACTGTTTTCTAAAGATGGTTATTTAGAACTAGGTATAGATTTTACGTGATGGTCTTTCAAAGTCTTTTTACAAAGGCCAAATAATTTCCTTGCTTCTATCTTAAATTCCACTTATTTATGCGTACAAAAATTGTGTTGTTTCTTTAGAGAGAGAGCTATGTTGAATGCTCTTACTAATATTATTATCAGCAACAATTCTAATGTCTTTTTCTGAGTTACCATTTTCTAAGGCATACCTGTCATAATGCACACCTCTAGAGGCTTTATATCCTAGATGCAGTGCTTCATACTATATCAAAATCCATATTCTTGGACTGTGAGTATTATATCAGGCAATTCTCAACAATAGCCTGCTTCCCTATTAACTGAACCAATGCACACCTCATGTGCGTACTTACCAGATTTATGAAACTGCCTAGTTAGTTGATGCAAACATTAAATAGCTTTGGACAATTGATTTCAGGGAAATCAGGCCAACAACCACCTTGCTCATTTCAATCTCTTCATGTGTAACTATGTTTTGCAACTATTGATAAACTAGATTTTAATCCATCTAATGACTTGACTGCTAACTACATCTCACGCAAGTTGTTTAATCAATGCGCCATGTGGTATCAGGTCAGGTACAGTAATGCAGCTATGTCAGTGTGATTGCCTTTTGTAACCAGATTTGGAATCTTGATAGGTTTATTGGGAGAGGAAGGGAAGTAATGGCAGATAAAAGGAGAATAAAAAAGGAAAGGAAGAAAATTGAGAAAAAAACTATACCTATGAAATGCTTTCAATTAAATTTTTATATCTTACTGCCTCTCCTTCTCTGTTGTCAGAGTCCTAAATAAATAATTGCAATTTATCAACACGAATATTTGGCTCATTTCATGATGTATACCTTTCACTCCTTTTCAATACTAGGATTTTTTCAGTTTTCCAAGATTTGTTAACAATACATGCCAGTGATTCAGATAACTCCTCTGCTAGTTCCCTCAAGATTCTTGAAGGTTCCTGGCTGCAAGTTTCAAGAATCTCTGAAGTTCAAGAAATCCTTCTAAGTTCTTTGAGAATCTTGGCTGCAAATTGTTTGTATCTTTAAGAAACTGGGCACAAAAATGTTTCAAATATAAGACTTTTCTGTGGGATGTTAAGAAAAGATCTGAACTACAATGGCTCTTTACAGACCACTTCTTACAAAAACTTCAAAATCAATATATTGTACCAAAAGCTGTTTTCTATTGTTGTCATGATGTTCAGTGTTATACTTGCACTGAATGAGCAACACATACACCTTTTTTTAATCAGTAATTTATAGTAACCTTTGCCTTAACAATAAGAAACCTAAGTTATTAGTAGTGCTGACTTCTACATATTATCTCTGCATCTTAGCAACTCAATAAACAATAAGATGAGTAATATTGTTGTGGTGTAACACTTTAATTAGTATATTTGCTGTCCTTGGCCCCTAGAGCTCCCCCACCGTTTCTATGTATAAAGGAGATGATTTCAAAATCCTACCTAAATTTCAAGTTTGGTAATTGTATTTTGCATCCCTAAATTCCCACTGCACATTCCTATGCAGAATTGTATAGAAATGTTCTGCACAGTTAAACTGTTGCTCGTTTCCACCTTAGCAGTTCTTTACATTGAGGGAGAGACTGTGGCTTTCAAGCCATGGCCCAGGAAAGCTGCAGGTGCCTGCTGTGATTTTGCGTGTTGTGCATAAAGACGAAGAGCAATCTGTTCTATCCATTAGACAGGGGAAAATTACTCCTCTGATGCACTAGGCCTTCCTGACAGCTCAGTGGGAAGAGGAACCGTGTCTAACCTAGCCCAATTTTTGTACTTTTAACAATTTGAGTATATTCTGTCTATTTCTGCTTGTCTGTCTCGTCAATTTAGACTGTCAGGTCTGCTGGCCAGGGGCGTATCTGCCTCCATGGTTTTATAACAATTGACTCAGAAGAAACAATTCTGAATGCTGGAATCTAAACATCCATGTCATATACATTAAGTAATTATCTTAGTGTAAGAACAGTAGACAAACTGACAGCTATCATATTAGTCTTTCACTGTAACTGATAGACCCATTGTAATGCAAGAAGGCTTTATATGCTTTGAAAGGAACACAATCTTGTTAATTTCAGCAAAGATGGCACTAAATTTAATATGTATTTGCAACAATTTTGCAGTAGAGCAGACAAAAGAAAAGATTAACTATATCAGCTCTTACCTGTTTTGCAAACGCACAGTGGATTTCCATCAACTTGTGTCAAGCAGGTTGAGTTGTTTATGCATGGATTGTATGGAAGGTCACAGGGATTGAAGGGCTGATGGCAAAAGTCACCAGTATAAAATGGAGGACAAATGCACACAAATTGTCCCTGGATAACAGACTCGTAACAGGTGGCACCATTTAAGCATGGTTCAGAATCACATTCATTTATATCTTCACTGCAGTCTGGCCCTGTCCAGCCTGCTGTACATGTGCATCTGAAAAAGACGAGGAGATATGGTGGAAGAATGAGAATCAATGACTTAGCCCAATCATGTCCAATTAATTCAATTAAAATAATTCAAAAATCAATAATGTCATTCTGTGCATAGCTTTCTTCTACCAGTTATGTCAGATTTTGCTATGAATAAATGTTATATTGAGATTCTTCTCCCACAATCTATTTGTGCAAAAGGAAAATGATTTATTCTAAATCACAGGATGTATGCACTTGGAGAACCATCTAAGTCAATGCAGACAGAATCATCTGTGATCTTTTTTTAAGCTGCTAAACAACATCGTCAGAAATTATCGGGTGTGGAAAGCAAGGTTCTTCAAGCTTGAGAATTGAAGACATTTTCATATGTGTGAAACCTGTAGGTAGGTACTGTAAGTGTTTGGGAAGAAATGCAGCAGGTAGCACTTGGCATACCTTTAAGAAAGAAGGTAGAAGGTCAAAGGCACAATAAAAGATTGAAGAATCTTCTCTTCATGATGCTGTTTCTTCTTTGGTATATGCTTTTGTGAAGGGCTGATACTGACAACACAGCAGAGAAAAACCTGGACCAATAACTACAATGCATCTGACTGCAAAAGATCTTTTTTCATGAAACAGATAAATACCTACTCTTATTTTCAGCAAATATGATAAAGTTCTAGATATTCAAAGATTACAATTTGCTAATGATTTCAAAGTTGCCATGGAAAATTTCCCCCATAATTGCAATGAAAGAAGGATCTTTGTCATATTTTACTTACTTGCTACCAAATGAATTGAATTATTCATTGCCTGCGTATTTGAATATGATTTGAGCTTTTCAATTGGTTAAGTGAAATTTTGTCCAAGTGCAGAAAATACGAATGCAATGGCCTTCTATGACAAGGCAAAATAGTATCTGAGACCTTCTTGTGTAACAAACTTTCCTTGTGACTTTATGAAACTTTTTAATACATTTTTGAGTATGTTACTTCTTAGTTATGTTTACGATCTAAACATATACACAGAACCTTTTGAAACCCCCCCACTAAGCTTAAATCACATAGATTATCAAGATGGTTGGCTGTGATGATTTGAAAACTAAAGTTGATTGTAGGGAAGTAGATCACTCAAATATAGTCTGGTATTTCTAACTTGATAAAAGGATTTGTTCTTAATAAATACTTTATTTAATGGAGACTCAACACAACTGCACAGTTCTATTCTCCAGGGCACAGATACAGTTTGTCACAAAAAAGAACATTTTACCTCCCTTAAAACAAATACAGTAAGTGTTTTCTTTGGAATTTTAAATGTTTTATATGGTTGGCTTGTGGGTATATTTTCCATGTCACCTGAAATGAAATGGATATTACTAAGGAATTCTATCATTCAAGAAATCACATACATTTTAGCAATAAGGAGTCACAACGGGGTTACTGTTTGTTTTTCATAAAAAAAACCAGCTGTAACTATAAAAAGGTATTCTTAGGTTACTCTGGTAAAATCACATTTTTGGAGTGATTTTTTAGTCAGAGCCCTCAAAATACATTTTCAGAAATACGATCAAATAGTTTGCAAATACATTTTGTTAATCTGCTTTAAGCACAAAAATCCTATCTGATTTTGCTACTTATGATATTGTACACTTGGTATGGAAGCAATACTCCTTGATTTAACACTGAATAACAGGTTCTGTTTGCAATTTATTTAGTACCTGGTTTAACTTTCTCTTGAAGGGTCAATCCAAAATAGTAGAGTCTCTACTACAAATTATGTGTTTCTAAATCACTGGCACTGGATATACCGGAGCTGACTGTCCCAGTTTAACAGAATGGATATTTTAGATGTGAATTGTTTTGTAATGCTGTTTTTTTTCCCCAAGACAACATTTATAAGATTTTGAATAAATTACTACCAATGACCAGCTACAAGCTGGTATTTAATATCTTGTCAGTGCTCCACTTACAGCTTGGAAAACTCACAATATGGAGAACTTTCACTTTGTGGAAGGGGGTAGGGTTCAATTCTTAACTGGTCTAACTGTTACAGGAGTAACTGATGTGCAAAGGGGCAAAAACAAAACATGCTCAATTCCATTCTTTTCCATAACGAGTTTCATAACAGCCTTTTGTGTTATTGAAATTATTTGGGATAGCCTAAGGGGACATTACGTCAGATGGAGATCACTTAAACAAGGCAATTATCTAGAGTACACAAGTAGCCAGTCCTACCCTGGCTACCTGCCAGCCAGCAAATCAGATGCGAAGGTCAATATTAACGCAAAGGAGTCAATTAATAAGATAATTTTACTTTATTCTTGTTTGGATTGTTAGGAATTTGCTGGTGTCATTACATGTGAAAAATGCATAAAAATATCCACCCTGAGGCCCAGTTTAAGACTCAAGACTCCATTTTGTAGTAATAAGATCTTCCATTTCAACAATGTTAGAAGGCAGTATTAGAATATTAAGAGTACAGAATAAAGAGTAGAATTTTTTAACTGTGAATTATCAACTAAGCTACTACAGCTAATATTCTCATACATTATCTGGTCAATGAAATGGAAATGAGCCAGAAACCCAAGCAGTTTTTTTTTCAATGAGACAGCTTCATTCACTGCATGAGAAAATCAGGAAGATTTCTAGAATATGCAAGGAGAAAAAAAGTAGGTAGCACATGCCTTAATGAGACCATACAAAGACAGGACAGTCATTGCTCAACTTTTTTCTGCTCTTTTTATCTAACTTTTAAACGCAGAAAAAAGGTCTAAGAATACTAGTGGGATATCATTAAAGTTTTCACATGCCTTTTAAAGAAAAAAGGTAAATATGGGAAATGTTCTGTATTCAACTTTATGTTTATTTCTGAGTTGTTTAGAAATTTTTTGAATTTATTTGCCAAAATTTGGTATTCAAATGGCAAATAATAATGCCATTATTGGTATTCATAATGGTAAATTTCATAAAATCAATCTAAAATGCAAGCTATATAAGTTAATGAATATATAAACAACTATCCTCTGTACAAATGTTTTTATAAAAATCCCTCTAGGTATGAATGACTGCTATTACCTGGAAAATTTTTTTGTTATCTGTCAGTATTTAGTAAACATTTCTGCTATATGCAGGAGGGATATATATTCAGAATTTCTTTAGAAATTCTGTAAGTTTAAAAGACTGCTTTTTAAGGCAAAATATACCATATATATTTTTATCTATGTAAAAAAGCTAAAGTTCTCTGTGTGTGTGTGTGTGTGTGTGTGTGTGCGTGTGTGTATGTGTATAAATATATGTTTCTTTGGGTATCTGAAAAAAAATTATCATAGGCTGAACTCTCATAAAACTAAAGAAGCAATGCAGTAAACAGTCTAAGGTCAAGAAACAGTCAACACTCTAAACTGGAAAATGTTTTATCCATTTTCTCTTACGAACAAATAGAACTACCATCTTTTTTCACATGTCACTAAGCTGTAAATTCAGAAGCTGAAAATACTACAAGGACTTTCTTATAAAAATTTTAATATTTATGAAAGAGTGACAGAAGTGTAAATTAAACCACAGCCAATCCCTAAATAAGGCACATCATACATTTCCAGGCTAATTATGAAAATATTTGACTTAAAAGTCTTTTACCATTAAGCAAAAAGAATCTTCTGCTTTCATCTCTCAATTGCATACTTGTTTGTAACTTTTATGCAGAAAGGCAAGGAGACAATAACCTAATAGAAATATCAAAAATAGCAGTATCCCACTGCCATGCTCTTTCTGCTCTATAATTTACAACGAGTTGTAATGAAACTTTTAACAAAAAATAGCCAGTAAATTAATTTTTCTTGAAAATAATTCAATGGCTTTTTGAAATGCAATTTTAATTTAAAAAATGAAAGTTTCTGCTATTAAGCAGCAAAGTAATTTATAGTATCTTCACAAAGAGGAATCATACAGTGGCACATGCAGTAAAAGAGAAATAGAAGATGAAAGCTTATTTAAAAATTCCTAATTTTAATTAATTAGCCTTACTCCATAAACTGTATAAATGCTTTCTTTAGATAACTGAACTTAAATATTTCCCTTGATATTACAAAATCAAGCTATGCATGATTGCTTGCTTTAGGTAATAATATATAAGCCAAACAGTACTTTGATTGTGCCTTATCCGTACAAGAACTCCTCCAACCCATATAGATCAGCCTTCATAGGTGTAATCTCTGTTAGCTCTCCATAGATTTAAGAGTTTTCCATACAGGAGAAGATAATGAAAAATAATCAATATAAATTTTATCCATACTTTTATATTTTACTACCTGCTTAAACACCAAAGTTTCAGTTAAAAATTGCAACCTGCAGCCATGAATGGGTATCCAAAGAAATTACTATTAATGTGTAAGTTCCTATAATGCTATATGATCAACTAAATATTAAATTATTTGGTTCTCATCAGTTTAAAACACCCCTTTTTATTTTTCATGTTCCAGTGGAACGTATTAGTATCACTTGCCTTATGTGCTACCCTATGGGTTTAAGGAATCAAATCATATGGAAGATTCTTAGCAGTCACAGAATGGTTGAGGTAGGAATGGATCTCCAGACACACACACTTATATATACACACACATACGCCCCTGCTCAAAAGAGAGTCACGTAGAGCAAGTTGCTTGGGACTGTGTCTAATTGGGTTTTGAGTATCTCCAAGGATAGAGACTCCATAACCTCTCAAGGCAACCTGTCACCTTCACAGTGGTTAAGTAAGTTTTTATTCTTACCAAAAGTAATCTCCTCTATTTCAATTTGTGCCCACTGCCTCTTGTCTTTTCACTGGATACCACTGAGTCTGGCTCTGTCTTCTTTACTCCCTCCCATTAGCTATTTATATACGTTGATAAAATCCTCCCTGAGCCAAAGCCATCTTTTCATCACACCATCAAGACCTACAGTCCATTTTTAATCTCAGAATTCCTCAGTGACTTTCTATCAATCGGAAAAGCATACCAGTGTGCTCATTCCAACTCAGCTCAGCTAG